TGTGTGTGTGTGTGTGTGTGTGTGTGTGTGTGTGTGTGTGTGTGTGTGGTTTTTCGAGACAGGGTTTCTCTGTGTAGCCCTGGCTGTCCTGGAACTCAGAAATCCTCCTGCCTCTGCCTCCCAAGTGCTGGGACTAAAGGCGTGCGCAACCACCACCCGGCTGACAGGCACTTTTTGTGGTCTACGCTGGGCAGGCCTGAACTATATAACTAGCTCAAGGCCAGTATGGGCAACTTAGTGATACCAGTCTCAAATTTTATTAAAAGAAAAAAGAAGGACTGAGGATGAATATCAGTGGTAGAGCTCCTAGCTAGCATACATGGGGTTAATTTCTAAACCAAAAGGTAATTTAAGAAGTCCACCAAGGAAGGTAACATAGCCCACCGGAAGTTGATTCAAACAAACAAGATATCGTTAAAACAGTGAAGGTTTGATCAACAGCAGGAACGTACGGAGCACAGGTGAGGTGGAAGGTCAAGACTTGAAGAAATGAGCCAGACATGGTGGCACACACCTTTAATTCCACCACTTGGGAGGCAGAGGCAGGCAAAAGTCTGAGTATGAGGCCAGCCTGGTCTACAGAGCAAGTTCCAGGACAGCCAGGGCTACACAGAGAAACTCTGTGTGGACAAAACTACAGCAGCAGCAACAACAAAAAAAACAAAAGCTCTGAAGAAATGACTAGGCAGAGTCCTTCTGGCAGGTGAGGCAGCATTTGCAAAGATCCTCACATGGGAAAAATGTAAATGGCATTCAAGAAACAGAAAAAGACTAGTATAGTTGGAATGTAGTGAGCAAGGCAGGGAATGTGGTTGTCATGGAGGGTGGGGACCAGATTGTGATCTTGTAAACTGAAGAGGTTGAGTCGATTTAAAGTATAAGGGCAAGAGGGTTTGTTCTTGTTGGTGCTGGGGATTGGACTCACCGTATTGCAGAGCTAAACCACAAACGAGAGAAGAATTGGAAGACTGAATGGGATCTGGTGCTCCACACCTGGGAATCTCAGCACAAGTGCTGGAGGTGGAAGCCCTAGCATGGGAAGTTCAAGGTCTTCAGCTGAGTATATGTGCTTCGCTTCGTAGCAAGTTCAAGGTCAGCCTGGGCTCTCTGAGAGTGTGTGCTGAAAACAAAGCCAGAGAGTGATCTAACATGACCCATGTTACAAGGACATTCTCAGGCTGGGGCTTGCAGTAGAGGGCCCTGGACTTGAGTGCCAGCTCAGAAAAGGAAACAGAGTTAAGTGTTATTGTAGCTGCTATGTAGAGGTTAGATTTGAGAGTGAAGGCACTGAAAGGGACTGTTTTAGAAGGCTAGGGGACATTTAAAAAACAGTTTTATTTTTATGGCCATTGGTGTTTTGCTTACATATATGTCTGTGTGCGGGTGTCAGAAGCCCTGGAACTGGAGTTACAGACAGTTGTAAACTACTATGTGGATGCTGGGAATTGAGCCTGGGTCCTCTAGAAGGGCAGCCAGTGCTCTAACCACTGAGCCTTGTCTTCAGCCTCCAGGGGATATTTTTTAAGTAAGACATTCTTTTCATTGCCAGAGGCAACTAAATTATTGATAACGCTGAAGTTTGAGGTCTTTGCACAGACGTCAGAGAAGAATTTCAGAAACCTGAACTCTCAGAAAGCTGGGGTTAGGGAATTTAAGGCCAATCTGGGAACACAGTGATATGTGTTTTCATGGTCATCCTGTTATGTGTAGTGTCACTCTATTTCCAAATCCTGAAACCAGGAGCTGGAAAGATGGTTCGGTGGTTACAGCACTTGTTCTTGTAGGTGACAGAGTTCTATTCCAAGGATCCACACAGCAGCTCATAACCATAAGACAATCCAGTTCCAGGGGATCCAACACCCTCCTCTGGCCTCCGTGGCACAAACATGCATGCAGGCCAAACAGTTATGCATATAAAATAAATGTTTTTAAAATCCAAAACCCAAAACAAAACAGTTCATGAATGTATTGTACAGATTTATATATGAAGAAGGCTTTTTTGGTTTTTTTTTTTTTTTTGGATTTTTGAGACAGGTATTTCTCTGTATAGCCTTGGCTGTCCTGGAACTCACTCTGTAGACCAGGATGGCCTCGAACTCAGAAATCCACCTGCCTCTGCCTCCCAAGTGCTGGGATTAAAGGCATGCACCAGCACTGCCCGGCTAAAGAAGGCATTTTTTTTTTTTTTTTTAAAGATTTATTTTGCCGGGCGTTGGTGGCGCACGCCTTTAATCCCAGCACTTGGGAGGCAGAGGCAGGCGGATTTCTGAGTTCGAGGCCAGCCTGGTCTACAGAGTGAGTTCCAGGACAGCCAGGGCTATACAGAGAAACCTTGTCTCGAAAAACCAAAAAAAAAAAAAAAAAAAAAAAATGATTTATTTTATTTATTTCATGTATATGAGTACACTGTAGCTGTCTTCAGACACACTAGAAGTGGACATTGGATTCCATTACAGATGGTTGTGAGCCACCATGTGGTTGCTGGGAATTGAACTCAGGACCTCTGGAAGAACAGTCAGTGCTCTTAACCTCTGAGCCATCTCTCCAGCCCCGGCATTTTTTTTTTTAAGAAGGCATTTTTTTAAAAAGGAAAATTCCTAGTTTAACATAGGTCACAAGGAGGTTAAAACAGTTTTTCCTTTTTAAAACATTTGTTTTTATTTTCTGTGTCTGTGGAGGTCAGAAGAGAATGTTGGGTCCTTTGAAACCGGAGCTGCCATGTGCGCTGAGAACCGAACCCGGGTCCTCTGGAAGAGCAGCCAGTGCTTTTAACTAACTACTGAGCCAGCTCTGCAGCCCAGGATTTATATTTATTATTTTAATTTTGTGTGTGAGTGAGTGCCACCTATGGAGGCCAGAACAGTCATCAGATCCCTTGAAGCTGAGTTGCAGGTGCTTTTGAGCCTGCTGAATTGGATGCAGAGCCATCTCTCCAGACCATTTTGTTCTTGAGACAGGGCTTGGAACTCCAGATCCTCCTTACCTTCCACCATGCCCAGCTCAATCAGCTAAAGAATACCGGGGTGGGGGTGGGGGGAGAGGAAGCCCACAGGGCCTGGAAAGATGGCTCAGCAGTTAAGAGCACTGACTGCTCTTCCAGAGGTCCTGAGTTCAATTCCCAGCAACCACATGGTGGTTCACAACCATCTGTACTGGGATCTGATGCCCTCTTCTTGTGTCTCTGGGTGCCAGTGACAGTGTACTCACATACATAAAGTAAAAAAGTAAAAAAAAAAAAAAAAAAAAATTATGTGGCTCTGAGCTACCCTGGTATGAGGCTGGAAGCTTAGCTGGTGCCTAAGCAAGCACCTGCTTGGTGCTTTGTGTCCCTAGGATTGTGCACTTGTGCCTTCGAAAGGCTGACCAGAAGCTGGTGATCATCAAGCAGATCCCGGTGGAACAGATGACCAAAGAAGAGAGGCAGGCAGCACAGAATGAGTGCCAGGTGCTCAAGCTGCTCAACCACCCCAACGTCATTGAGTACTACGAGAACTTCCTGGAGGACAAGGCTCTCATGATTGCCATGGAATATGCACCAGGTAGCATGCTTTGCTTCAGCCTACAGGCCCTTCCCCCTCCAGGAGAGCTGGACACCATTAGGTGGCTTCCCTCTGGAATAGACTTGGCTGAAGGTCAGAAGTACAGAGTTCTGGTCCCACTTGTGTGGCCATGACAGGCTCCTTGCCCTCTCTGCTTCTAGCCTCCTGGTCCTTAAAGGCAGTGGGTTGTTCCCACTGTGGTAGAGTTGTCCTGGTCTTGACTGGCTCTGTGGACCACAGGTGGCACCCTGGCCGAGTTCATCCAGAAGCGTTGCAATTCCCTGCTAGAAGAGGAAACGATCCTTCACTTCTTCGTGCAGATCCTGCTTGCCCTCCATCATGTGCACACACATCTCATCCTGCACCGGGACCTCAAGACCCAGAACATCCTTCTTGACAAACACCGGATGGTTGTCAAGATCGGTGACTTTGGCATCTCTAAGATCCTCAGCAGCAAGAGCAAGGCCTACACGGTGCCTAGATGTGTGGGGGACACTGGGAGTCCTGAGAGCTGAGGCTTACCCTACATTCCTGCCTCTTCCTCTTCCCTCAGTCCGTGTCTATATGTTCCTGAAGAGGAAGCTCCAAGACCTGCTTTGAGAAGCTATCCCCAAATGAGTCTCTGGCCAGAGCCTTTGTTCATCTCTTCCCAGGGTTGTAATACAGACTTCCCTCCTGCAGGTGGTGGGCACTCCATGCTACATCTCCCCTGAGCTGTGTGAGGGCAAGCCCTACAACCAGAAGAGTGACATCTGGGCTCTGGGCTGTGTCTTGTATGAGCTGGCCAGCCTCAAGAGGGCCTTCGAGGCTGCAGTGAGTACAGCACCACTAAGGGGTCAGAACTCCACCTCCTTTGCCATAGCTCTGACCACTTCTGTGTTCCTTCTCTTGTGGCTGAGCAGTCTCTATACCTGCTGGTGGGTTACCCTAGGCCAGGGCCTCTCAAGATCTTGCTCAGCTCAGCCTATGAGTCCTGTGATTCAGGCTTAAGTCCTGCTTTGGCCTGAGAATTCCTGAAGGTATTGATGTGATCCCTGTCTCTTCCATGATTATAGACATTCCCAAGAGTGAGCCTGGGGTTGGTTGGTTTCCTTCCTTCCTTTTCTTCCTTCCTTCCTTTCTTTCTTTCTCTCTCTCTCTCTCTCTCTCTCTCTCTCTCTCTCTCTCTCTCTC